TTTTCTCTTTTCTCTAAATTGGTTGCAATTTTGATATAAGCTGCCTTGGTTTTAGGATATTGTTGCCATGCGAGAATAGATGCTGAACCAAAATAGCTAAGAAAGTTCTTAATTTCTCCTGCTCTCATTTCTTTTGGAAGATCCCATATTGTGAAAAAGTAATGTGAGGTAGATTCTTGTAATCTAAAATTGCCTTTTGAGGCCCATATCGAGTTATAGATATTGTTGGTGGCAAAACTGACGAAATTCGCAGCACCAAATTCGACGTCACGAGACCCGAAAACATGATGAAAGTCCTGAATCAGAGCCCACAAAATCGTAAAGAAATCGTGAAAAACCAGTTTTGCCCCAAAAGCCCCAGACAAAGATAAGCCTGGAACAGCCACAAGATGAAGAATTCGAATCGCAATTGTCAAGAAGTCGTGGCCACATCATGATAAGATTGTTCTCAAGATGGACCCAAGACCACAGACTTCTCGGCTATAACGCATGGGAAGAACCATAGGATGACCACCTGGTGCAGGACCATGACCAAGCATCGCCCAAAATAGTTAACTGAAGCGGTGGCATTGACGGATAAATATAGAAGTAAATGGGATAAATCATGTGGCAGTGTAAGTCAAATGTTTACATCCATGTCAAAAAGAGATGATGTAAAATAGAAATTGCGTAAGAATCAGTAACGATGGTGTGATAGGATAGGGAGTTTTTTTTTCCTTTTGTAGTTCTTGTCTTTGCTGTAATTTTTGTATAAGAAGAGTTGAAATTCGCCCAAGTTTTAGGGCAGAGATCAGCTCAAATAAAATTAATAAAATTCGAATTTGATCAAATATATTCTTTGATCCTGAAAGTCTCTCATTCGTATTTCCCACCCATAACCAACAAATCCAAACCCTTACTCTGCCAAATCTTACCCGCCTCTGCCTTGTGGGTTTTGGTTGTGTGGTTTTTGATAGTTTTATTCCGGCCGCATCTTCGTGGTGACTATCTAGACCTGTACGTTTTCTAGCCGTTGCCATCAACAATATCTTCATGATACTTATGTTTCTTGCTGTTTTTATTTTTTCTATTCTTTTGATCTTTACTCACTATTTTTTCGATTTGACTAGCAAGACCGTAATCTATCACACCACATTCATTATATAGTAAAACTAACTTGACTACATCCTGTTCATTTTCTGCCAAAGTGCTATCACTATCTTTTTTTATAAAATTTCTTTTGCGTGGTATGTTTAAATATCCAATTTCCATTTCAGGATTATTCACATCTTCTGGTTTATTTGTCTGTGTATAGGTAACTTTCATCGAAGTTAATTCAGTGCTGGTTATGTTCTTGCAGTCATCAGTTCGATCATTTGCATGTATTAAAGTAAATTTCATCGTAGTTGATTCAACTTTTTCTAATGGTTGTTCTATACTTATTTCCATAGCAGATGTTTCTGTTTTATGTTAGTACTACTACTTTGTAGCTTCCTGAGATTGATGTTCTCATCTATTAGGATTTTTTCCTCCTCTGTTAACTCTAGTTCTCTTGTTTTCTTATGTTGGGCCCAATCGTAAATATGCAAAACATTGTGGATAATAGCTATTAAGTGTTTATCATCTGTGCCTAGGTAGTTTGCCACTCTGCTATCTTTTTTAAGAATGGTTGTACTTTGTTCATTGTAAAGATCTGATCTTTCATCTTCGCTTTTGTTAAAGAAGTTTTTGTATTTTTCTAGTGCCAGCATTTGGTGTCTAATCGTTTGTTATTGTTTGTTTGTTTATTTGATATGTATATAATTGTGTTTTGTTTATTCTGAGTATTTGTTTATCTGTTTGTTTATTTATATAATTTATTGTTTATTTGTTTATTTGTTTACTTCTGTACGCGTCTATTTGAACAGGAGGAAACGTCAAAGGTTACACAAATTAACATGTAATCGACAGCCCGCATATTTATGTCAATCAAATAATTTATACATAGTACTGTAAATACGATAATAAAAATATGATAATAATTAGATAATATCGACTAATAAAATATATTTAAAAACTTTATTTTATTAAAAATTTATTTTATTACAAATTCAAAAATGTTGATTTTACATATTTTAATAACTCTTCTATATCAACCACATTGCCTATTATTTCATCTGCATTACTCGAATCATCTTCATCTTCATCTTTATCCCTATTATCAAGTATTTTAACATCAACTATGTTACTAGTCATACTTACTATTAGCATATCGACATTTTTCTGGATTTTACCTTGAAGATAACTTAAACAAATAGAATATTTAAAATGAGATTTTTGTAAACAATGATTATGATAACCATGCTCATATGCCAAAACGTAGCTATTAAGCAAATTACAGGTCCTATTGCAATTCAATGAGTCACATAACAAAGACACATTAGGTTTTTTAGAAGTAACAAAACCTCTCAGAAGGTAACGATCTATTATTTCAAAGTCGAATGAAGGTACTTTATATATATTGATACTATTGTCACTTGTGGATTTAACGATAGGAGATTTGTCACGATTCTGATACATTTTCGCAAATATTTTCAAAAGAGATATGGAACATTTTTGAGAAAGCATATCTAACTGTTTCGGTGTATAGATACTTCATGGAATATACAAAATTTTGTTGAAAGGTATTATCGTGTCGTTGCTGGAAAATAAAATGCGCCTCCTTTTGTAATTGCTCAGCTATAAGAAATTTAACAGTATGTCTTCGAATAATGCTGTGGGTGACTTCAACGGGACTATCACTAAAAGAAGCAAGATGGTTAGAAATTAAATTCATTATTGGATGGCCCGTTTCCATCCAATAAAAAACATCTGAAAAAAACATTAAGGGGACATGCTTATAATTTCTTCTATTGAATTGTAAAAAAAGGTCGCTCCAACAACACATGCATGCTTCCTTATATGATAGCCAATCCCTACTCTGATGGTGTATAGCATAGACATCAAGAACTAAAGGAACTAAATTGCTAAATAAATCAGTAAGATATAAAAACTTAATGTTTTTATATATAAACCCAAATTTTGCATAAATCGTATCTGCAATATTGGACCATGCCAAACGCACAATGTGGAAAATTAAATTAATTCTCTATGGTCGTGGCTTCTGGCCGAGTTTCTTCTTTGCTCCAAATACACTCTTTTTTTTTTTTTTTTTAATATTAAGGTAACCACTTAGGCCTTTAGCACTTGGCTTTATTCAGATAAATACGATATTATATCAATTTTCACGAGGATACAACTAGCCACACGTGTACTTTTGGTACCTA